ATGGTCTTCACAATTACTTGCTTTGCGTCAGAGAGTGGCGCAATGACTAAGGGTGACGGAAGAAAGATTGATGCCTTAAAGTTGTTGTGCTGGAGAAGAGTCTTGAGCATACCATGGACTACCAAGAAAACAAATAGGTCTGTCTTAGAGAGGGTGAAACCAAGTTACTCCTTGGAAGCTAGGTTTTTGAAGCTCCATTTCACATACTTTGGACATGTGGCCCAGAGAGACTGGTCCTTGGAGAAGGACATCATGCTTGGAAGGGTAAAGAGATAGTGCAGGAAAGGAAGACCCCAGAGGAGATGGATTGATACAGTAACTGGGGCAATGGGGGTAGGTGTGTGAGAATCAGTGGGACTGGCTCAGGACAGGGCAGGGTTCAGAGCTGCTGTACATAGGGTCGCTATGAGTCACAGACAACATTCAATGGCACATAACAACAACAACAATAACAACAAGAGGTTATGTATCCCATTATGGTTTTGAATTACATTTTTTAATCCCCAATGTCAATAATATTATCTTCCTTGGTCAACAATCAACACTCTTAATACCAGCAGTCCAGAAATCAAGAGATGTATTTCATGGGTCTGAAGAGTTTGAGAAGTCATAATGTCAGTTTGAAGACTAATGTATATCTAATTCAAGCCCATGGTTTTCTCAATCTGCTACACACTGACAAGCTGGACAATGAACAAGGATAACTGAAGAAGAATTAATGTCTTTGAGTGGAGTGCTGGAGAAGAGTACTGAATATTCCATGGACTTCCGAGAGAACAAACAGATATGTCTTAGAAAGGATGCAGCCAGAGTGCTCCTTGATGGCAAAAATGGTGGAGCTTTGTCTTTCATACTTTGAATGTGTAGCTAGGTGTCGCTATTCATTGGAGAGAGGCATCTTGCTGGGAAAGATGGGAGGGTCAGCGAAGGAGAAGAGGACCTCTAATGAGAAGGGTTGAAATGGCAACTTCAGCAATGGGCTTGAGTGTTTCAAAGACAGTGAGCATGGCACAGGATAGAAAGCAGAGGTTCAAGCTGACTTCTCATAGGATTGCTATGAGTCATACTGGACTTGACAGCACTTAACAACAACAATGACTTGAGCATCTATTCACATGCTTATTGGCCATTTATATATCTTCTTTGGAGAAATGTTCATCCAGATCTTTTACCTATTTTTAGAATTGGGTTGTTTGTCTCAGTTATTGTTGAGTTGTGAGAGTTCTTTATATATTCAGGATCCAAATTCCTTTCCAACCCCTTCTGAATTTTAAGAGATATTTAAATCAAGGCTGGCAGCAGGGCTTGTGATTTTTACAGTCTGTGGAGTTCATTTGCCTTGACAATGACAGAAACTTTGCCACGTATGAGCTCAGTCCCACAGAGAGGGGTAGATCCTGGAAGATGCAGAATTGTGGAGGCAGGTCACTGCTCGTCTGAACACAATTACAGCCCTTTCAAGGTAGTGCCTGTTGAAGAGGAGCTGGGGAGATGCAGGCTGGCTAATATCAAAGGCAGAATCATGTTAAGGGATTTTCTGTAAAAGGAGCACAGGTTTTTATTTCATAGGCAAATAAGATGGTTCATTAAAAAAGCAATTTTGGATTATAAATGGATATGCAAATATAAGGTGGTATTCTTATTGTTACTATTCTTATTTGTAGGCACCCAGGAGAGCCCTCTCCAGGATAAAATCTCAGAGCCTGGGTAAAGGAAAGAGGGGACAAATGACAACAACTTGGCAGTTTGCACACCCTGTTGTCTCTGTCTCTGCCTCTCTCTCTCTCTGCGTGTATGTGTGAGAGTTAGTTTTATTCTTTCTCTCTTAATTTATTTACTACCTGTGTAATTATTTATGTAATAATCTTCTTTAATATGGACTTCCATTTCTTTTAATTAACTTTCTTTATAAAGGAAACTTTGTATCACAATCATAAACAGCACATTTATATAAGATACAAAGTGGAAAGTAACTAAAAAAATGTAATGAAAGTCAAGGATGTTATTAAATTTTAACTGGATCCTCTTGCTTTCTGGGTATAGAGAGCTGCTCCCGACCTTGGCTTGGCTTCCCTTTCCTAACCTCTCAGGTCTCTCCTCTACAGCACCTCTTTAGGATAGGGCCCTCTTAGAACAGGGCCTCCTCAGGGCAAGGCCTCCTCAAATAAGGCCTCCTCACATAAGGCCTCCTCAGGACAGCACCTTCTCAGAGAGGGCTTCCTTAGAAAAGTCCCCCAGGAGAGGACCTCCTCAGGAAAGAACCTTCTCAGAACAAAATCTCCTCTCAGGATAGAGTCCATTTCCAATAGAAGGAGGATAGGGCCTTCTCAGGATAGATTCTCCTTTTCAGGATAGGGGCCCCCTTCTCAGGGTAGGTTCTCCTCAGTATAGGGATCCCTTCTCAGGATAGGCTTTCCTTCTCAGGATAGGGCTTCTATGTCAGGACAGGGCCTCCTCAAGGCAGGGTCTCCTCTTCAGACAGAGCTTACTCAGGCAGGCTTTCTCTTGCCACCAGTCTTCCCACTCCTGTACGTTCTTTACCCTGTTCCTTGCTTCCTTTGTTTCACTGCATGTGGATCTGATGGATATTATAATTTATATATGTGTGTCTGGCTCTGGGGAGTCAAGATGTGATCTGTCTTATTTATCCCTCCACTTGACTAACTCAGTAAATTATTAAAGGCAAATAAACAAAATGAGTTTCTCTTGAGTTATATCTGCCTTATGAAAGTTCCCAGTGTACCAGAGTAGCACTATGATACACAGGATTTTCAATGGCTAATTTTTAAGAAGTAGAGCCCTGTGTCTTTCCTCTGAGGTTACTCTGGGTAGACTTGAACCTCCAATCTTTTGGTTATCAGCCAAGCTCATTAACCATTTGCACCATTCAGAGACTCCATCTAACCCAAGTTGTTGTTGTTGTGTACCGTCGAGTTGGAACCAGCCCATAGCTGACCCTCCAGCGGGTTTTCAGAGGCAGTTAATTGCATGGGAGGAGATTGCCCATCCTTCTCCCACAGAACAGCTGGTGGCCTCAAACTGCATGCCTTTGGGACTGCAGCGCAGCTTCTTACCACTAGGCCACCAGAGCTCCCTTCTTGCCCAAGAGGGACTTAATGAATAAGTAGCTTGAATTTCTGAGCCTATACCAGTTCCTAGCTTACTTTCGTTATTCTGTAAGAGAGCTAGTGAGTGTGGTGAGGTGTGAAGGACTGACATTAGCACCTCTTTGTAATCAGAAGAGCTGTGAGCAGAACTGAAGAAGGAAGCAGCCTCCTGGGAATGGTCACCTGACTTCTGAGGATTTCCCACCCTCACTAGGGAATCCCTGGGCCTAGAAATTCACACTTGGCCTTGGACTTGAAGCCTCACTGGATCATTTGGTAACTGAATGACCTGATGGCATCACTTAACCTCACCCAGCATGTGCCTTCCCCAAAGTAGAAGAGTAAGACGCTCTCTGACCTTATGGAGCTGCTGGGAGCATGCAAGGAGGCAGTTCATACGAAAATGGTAGTAGACACTGAAAAGCTTTAAGAGAAAAGGAATTTAATACCTATGCTATGAGTCCTACATTTTCTCTCACGCCTACCAGTAACAAGTAATAATATACTTTATCCTTTATGCGGAATTATATAGGGAATACCTAGCTAAGAGCTTCCTAGATATTGTTTTATATTGTCTTCAACAATATTCAATGGCACTAAAAACACAATAAGGAAGCTCTAGCAGCTTTGTGGGAAGAAGTTGCGCTGCCAAACTAAAGGTACATGGTTCAAATCCACCAGCTGCTCTGCAAGAGGAAGATGATCAGTCTCCTCCCCTGTGATTTCCTGGCTCTAAAAAGTCATCAGAAGGACTGCTGTGGGTCAGTTCCAACTCCAGGAAGGTACAAAACAACAACAAAAACAAAGTCTTATGGGAATGCTGTTAATCCCAAAAGCCAGTACACTGCCATCAAGTTGATTTTGACTTACATTGACCCTTATCTTATAGAGTAGGACTGCCCCAAAGGATTCCCAAGGCCATATATTTTTTTTTATGGATACAATCAGAAAGTTTACTTTTTTAAAAGAAGAAAAGGTTGAGTGTTTATGGGTATATCAGTGGTCTTTTATGACTTGTTGAAGAAGTCCTGCTCTTACAGAGTTATGTTTGGGGCTGCTAACCAAAAGTCAGCTCTGGTGGCCTAGTGGCAAGAAGCTGCGCTGCAGTCCTGAAGGCATGTAGTTCAAGGCCACCAGGCGCTCTGCCTCTGTGGGAGAAGGATGGATGCGCAATCTCCACCCCTGCAATTTGCTGCCTCTAAAAACCCACTGGAGGGTCAGCTCTGGGTCATTCCGATCTAACAGTAAAAACAACAACAAAACAATAAACCAAAAGATTGGCTGTTCAAACTCATGAGCTGCACCTTGTGAGAAAGACGACGCAATCTCATCTAATTAAAATTGACCGCCTCAGAAACTTGATGGAGGGTCACCATGCGTTGGAACTGCTGACTCAACATCAATGGATTATCTTTGGGTTTTTAAGGTGATGTAGCAACAAGAGATACAGCGTGGCCGTGGCTTTTAATATTCTGAAGCCTGTACTCTCAGCCACCACATGATAACAGCCACTTAAATGAACAGCATCTGTGTTGCCCACTCTTGTCACCGTATCTGAGTCATGGTTCTAATAGTTAATGTTTTTTGAGCACTTACTATGTGCCAGACATTGTTGCTTGGATTAAATAAAATAATCCTCCCAATAATCCCATGATTATTTTTCCATTTTACAGATGAGGTAAACACTAAAACATATGCCAGGTAGTTTGACTCCATAGCTCATATTCTCTACTCCTCTATCGAAGTACCTTTCTGTTTATTGTTTGGGTAAGGTCTATTAGCTTTGGGAACCAGAAGAACTCCTTTCTAGGTCCACTAGGGCTTAGATTGGAAGGCCAGAAGGTAGAATGCATGTCACCATGGTAACCAGGCCAATTGCTTATACCAGCTGGTGAGCTCTTGGGGCTGAGATTCTGTGGCTGGGAAAGAGTAGCGTGAGGTTACCATGGGACAATGTTTGAGGTACCAGATGAGCTGGGAGGACCTGGAAGAGTACCAGGTGAGTAGATCAGACAGGATTCTGGGCAGAGGTGGGAACTCCTGGGGCAGGTGGTAGATGGAAGAACTCTTATCTGGAGCACTGGAGTTCACCAGGTAGAGGACATCCACGTGGCCCAGACCAGTCCTCTGAGACCATCTGTCTCTTACTCCAGAGCCCAGAGTTTCAATCTTGTCTCTGATTTCATGTACCAGACTTGTACCAGCATTTTCTTATCAAGGTTGTCAGAGGCTGCAAGGAGGGATAAGGGATACATTTCCATCCTTTGCTGTACCCCATCCCCAGGCTTCACTGCCCAGAGATGCCTTCATTTTCCCAGCTGTGGGGTAGGAGTAAGGGCTTTTCCTCTTAGGCTCCCAAGGATCCTTACTCCTAAAGGACTCAGGTTTTGAGTTGAGTGCCAAGCTCAGTTGAGCAGGCTAATTATCTGTCTATGCTTTGTCGTAGGCACTGACCTTCCTGACCAGAAAGGAAATTCTCTGGTGAGTAGAGGGGACCCCTGAGCTGTATCCCCTTTCAATTCTCCCTGCTACTGAGCCAGGTTGTAGCCCTGGGGCAGCCTCACCAAGCCCTGGAGACAGTCTGGGACAGGGTAGAGCGACTCCTCCCATGATAGGCCAGGCATCATATTTCCAGGGCACAGGAAGCCATGGAAACTGAGGACAGTTAGAGGGCTGTGCTATTTTCATTTTACAAATACTAATAACCCACACCTTTGTTCCTAAATACTGCCACCTACATTGACATGTAGATAACAATATTAATAGTTATGCATTATTATATCTATGTTTTTTTCTGTGCCATTAAGTCACTTGCCAATTATAGCGACCCTATGTACAACAGCTCTGAACCCTCTTCTATCCTGAGCCAATCTCATTGTCTCCGACACACCTACCCCCATTGCCCTAGTTACTGAGTCAATCCATCTCATCCAGGGTCTTCCTCTCCTGTAACATGTTGTTTGTTGTTGGAACTTTAACATATCCTGTAACATGTGCTGTTGGAACTGACCCATAGCTGACCCTCTAGTGGGTTTTCTGAGACTGTAAATTGCATGGGAGGAGATTGTGGAGCAGCCGGTAGATTCCAACTATGTGCCTTTGGGCTTGCACACAGCTTCTTATCACGAAGCCACCAGAGCTCTCTCTGTTAGAATATATTCTTATATAAATGTAAACCAAACCCCAGCTACTGTTATCATGCTGAATCCAACTCAAGGTGATGCTTCTTTGGGTTTCCGACACTGCGAATCTTAGCAGGAAGAGACTCCCCATCTTTCTCCTGCACCCTGACTTCTGGTTCGCAGCTGAGCAGATAACCAACTATGCCACCGGGTATGTGAGATTACAAATATCACCAACGGCACATTATGCTTTATTACTGTTGTTGTTCCTGCGCCATCGACTTAGAACTGACTCACAGCTGACTCTCCAGAGGCTCTCCAGAGGCAATTACTCACAGGGAGGAGATGGCCATTTTATGCCCACCGAGCAGCTGGTGGAGTTGAACCTTGTGCGTTTGTGCTGGCAGTGTACTTCCTTACCGTTAAGGAATGAAGAGGGAGCAAGGGTGGCCTAGGGGTAAGAAGCTGTGTTACACTCCCAAGGCACAGGGTTCGGATCCACCAGCTCTCTGTAAAGAGGAGCCGTCTCCGCCTGTGTGATTTAGTGCCTCTGAAAAGCCCCTGGAGCGTCAGCTATGGGTTGGTTTCTGCGCGACGGACACAGCAACAACAAGCCATCACAACAATATGTTATATTTATCCAGGTTGTCAAAAAAAGAACATGTAATTTATACAAAGATATAAAGGAAAAATTAAACCATGATATGAAAGGGTGGCTAGAAAATGAAAATTGTATAGATAGTTCGAAATTAAAGCTGCGTGTCTCCCTCCCCTCTTCCCAGACCTTCCTGAGGTAGCTACTGCTCAAGCTAGTTTCTCATCCAGCCTTTCAGAGGAATGAACGGCTTAGGGCAGACCCTCCATATATGCCCTTTAACATTTTTACTTCATTCTTCAGCATTTACCCCATTCACAATGTAGCCTTTATTTCGCTCTTTGTCTTCTTCCCTCCATTTCCTAATCCTAGAAAATTTTACATAAAATACCTAGAGATTCATCTCATTCTTTTTTTTTTTTTTTGGCTCCAGAGCCTTCTTTCCTGTGGATGAACTGTAATTCTGTTTATTAGCCCCCGTATTATGATTACGAGGAGAGATGTGGCATCAGAATTGGATGTAGACTCATCAACAGTCTGTGTTATGCAGATGACACAACCCTGCTTACTGAAACTGAGGAAGACCTGAAACACTTGCTATAGAAGGTCAAGGACTGCAGCCTTCAATATGGATTGAAGCTCAACATCAAGAAAACAAAGATTTTCACCAATAGGCCGATTGGCAGCATCAGAATTGATAGTGAAGTGATTGAGATTGTTCACAACTTTAGTTTGCTTGGCTCCACAATCAACTCTCTTGGTACCAGGAGCCAGGAAATTAAAAGACAAATTGCATAGGGGAAGTCTGAAGTCAGGGATCTCTCAAACATACTGAAGAGCAATGATATCAGTCTGGAGACTAAGGTCCACCTGTTCCAGGCCATGGTCTTTGCAATTACTTGCTATCGATCAGAAAGCTGAACAATTCCTAGGAATGATAGAAGTAGAACTGATGTGTTTGAGTTGTGGTGCTGGAGAAGAGTATTGAATATACCATGGACTTCTTGGAGAACAAACAGATTCCTCTTAGAGAGGGTGAGAACAGGCTGCTCCTTGGAGGCAAGGATTTGGAGGCTTCATCTGACATACTTTGAACATGTTGCAAGGATGTATCAGTCCTTGGAGAAGGATGTCATGCTTGGGAGAGTAGGGGGACAGCGCAGGAGAAGAAGACCCTCGATGAGATGGATTGAATCAGTGACTGGGGTTATGGGGGTAGGTGTGTCAGAGACAATAAGGTTGATACAGGATAGAGCAGGTTTAGTGCTGTTGTACCTAGGGACACTATGAGTTGCAGGTGACTCAATGACACATAACAACAACAACAAGTTCTTTCAGCTCTTACATAATTTTTTTGAAGCAGATTTCTCTTTTTTTCTGATGCAACTCTGAGTGGACTTGAATCTCCAATCTTTTGGTTAACAGCCAAACTCAAGTTAAAGAGCTGTGGTGGCTTGGTAGGAAGAAGTCACACTGCCAACCCAGTGGCAGACGGCTTAAATCAATCAGTTCTGCAAGAGAAAGATGAACAATCTCCTCTCATGCATCTTATAGCCTCTGAAGAACAATAACAACAACAAATAATTCTACAAATAAACCACCATGATGGATTGAGAAGAGATTGGGGTCATTAACAATTTCAACTTGCTCAGCACAGTCAACATTCTCGGCACCAGCAGTCAAAAATGAATTGCATTAGGGAAGTCTGTTGTCACGGACCTTTCCAGAGTGCTGTTGAGCAATGATGTCAGTTTCGAGACAAAGATGCGCCTGATGCAGGCGATGGTCTTAGCAATTACAGAAACCAGGACAATGACTAAGGATGACAGAAGAAGAATTGATGCTTTTGAGTTATGGTGCTGGAGAATCTTGAACATACCTTAGACCACCAAGAAAACAAATAGGTCTGTCTTGGAGAGGTTGAAACCAAGTTTCTCCTCGAAGGCTAGGATTTTGAGGCTCCATCTCACGTACTCTGGGCACATAGACAGGAGGGACCAGTTGCTGGAGAAGGACATCATGCTTGGAAGGGTGGAGGGACAGCACAGGAGAGGAAGACCCTGGATGAGATGGATTAGTACAGTAACTGGGGCAATGGGGGAGGTGTATTGGAGTGAGTGAGCCTGGCTCAGGACAGGGCAGGCTTCTGAGCTGTTGTACATAGGGCCACTATGAGTCACAGGTGACTCGATGACACATGACAGCAACAACAATGCTGTGCTAAACATTTGTGTGAAAAGTGCTTATCCAAGATAATAAGTGCACAAGGGAAATTTCTAGCCTTAGAAATTTTGGGCAAAGGGTTTTTTTCTGTTGTGTGTTGTTGAGCTGACCTCAATTCATAGTGACCCTATGTGACAGTGTGGTACTGCCACATTGGAATCTCTACAGGAGCACATCACCAGGTCTTTTCTCTCTTGGAGTAGATTGTGTTTCCAAATTGCTACCCTGTCAGTAATCCTGTGCGTTACTAACTATTGCTCCACCAGGACTCCTCAGGCAAAAGGTCAGTGCATTTAAAATTTAGATCAAAACTCAAGCTCACTGCTGTTGCGTCGCATCTGACTCGTAGCACACCCCTGTGAGGTTTCTGAGGCTGTAAATCACAGGGACAGGAGGAGACTGCCCTTTTTTCTTCTGTAGAGTTGCTGGTGTATTCGAACTGCCAGACTCAATGATCAATTAGCTAGCAGAGCAACTTCCTATGTACTGTGCTACCAGAGCCCCCGCTGGTAGGTATGAGAATGACCAGGTCTGCTCTTTTCACACCAATAAAATCAAGGGCTTTTCAGAGATCCTCATTCGGTCCTTAGTACTTCTCACCTTTCTCTGGATGGTACAAACAGTTAAGTGCTTAACTTTTGGCTGGTAAATTCCAAGTTACCCAGAGCCTCCTTTGGAGACCAAGCTGAGAATCTGCTTCCAGAAAAATTACAGTCTTCAAAACTTCATGAAAAATTCTATTCTGCACACATAGGTCGACATGGGTTGGAATCAACTCAGTGGCAACTAATGACAACAACAGTGCTTCTCACACAACTTTCCGATGCTTCCAAGGAGGAACTATGATGGAGCAGGCAGAGGGGAGTGGGGGTTGGATTGGAGGAGAGCAGAAGATGAGAGAGGGGTTTTTCTTGGTTTATTTCTTGAGCATTGTCTTTCTTTTTCACATATTCTACACTGGCTTTCCAGAAAAGAGTTCCTGGAAAGAAAACGATCCTTAGAGTCTCCTTTCTTTACTGTCCATCCTGCTCTGAGGTGACCCTTGCTTAGATCCTGTTTCTATCCCACTCACAAGCAATCTTCCCTGGGAGAGGGCATAGCCAGAGAAGGTTCCGCTTCCGTCCAAACTTCTCTAACAAGCTTCCTTTAAAACTCTTCTTGGCTGGCACCCTTGTGTGATGTCTTTGTTTCTGAGCTCAGTGGGCCAATGCTCACCTTGGGGTAGGTAGCTTTGACCTGTAAGTCCCACCATTGGGGCCTCAAAGAGAGGAACCTGTTAATGCTGGGGAGGCTGAGGGCTCTGTGGATGAGGAAGGCAGAATGAAGGCCACCTTGTATGATCCAGCTCCTCTGCTTTTGTTCATCAAGACTGGAAGTTTTTAAACATGAATAGGGTGATTCCTGAGGGAGGGACAGAAATTTTAAGGTGAGTGGAATTATACCAGAGACAGCTCTCTGCTACTTTAAGCCATATTGGGTCTGCAGACCTGGCAAAGCACACCTCAGGGTCTACTCCGGGAATACTCATCTGTTGCTGAAGA